GTTGAATGTGTTTTATTATTTTTATACAAAAATTGATAAACTATATATTTAACATGTATCTTTATTGTAAAACTCATTCGATACACATTCATGTAATTTCATCTGCACATACAAAGAATTGTATAATTTTATTATCATACAAATAAAATATATAAATAACATTTTCAATAACATACATATCAATGAATTACAGTAAATATTTTAATATTACTGTTTTCAATATTTCTAAGTTATCTATAATATCCTTGTATAATGCAGAATGAAACTTATACATCACAATTATTTTTCATTTTCATATTAATAATAGCATTTACATACAGTTCAGAATATAAATTCTTTAATCTTTCTCATTTGATATGTCAAAGAATATTCTACACACAAACGGAGTACTTTAAAAATTTCTATCTAATACATAATTTATGTATAACACAGAGAGAAAAAATCAGTCTTATTTTATATATGCCAATTATTTAATATTTATGTTGTCCATTGCAAATGCTCAGAGATCGTGAGGTAAAATAAATAATAGTACAAACATATACAGTGCCAGAAGAGAACTAATATTTAATATTTCCTTCTTAATATGTAAAATAGAATTATTAAATGAAGACACTTTAAATTATCTCACTGCTTTTAAAAGTGGGAATAAATATATATAATAAAATCAAGAGGGTGAATGATGTTTATGAATCATATGTATTTTTTTTTGCAAATTATTATACACCATAAAACAAAAGAATTCTGTAATATTGTAGAATATGCCATTTTTATTATTTAAAAATATTTAAAAACATTTTCTGATTACTTACTCAGAAATCATTTCTTTCTGTAGCAAAAAGTGGTATAAACACAAAAATATTGTTTTACATACAGGATGTCTCTAAATTTGTGCCATTTGAAATAACTGCTAAATGGTAGTTGATATGAAAAAATTTTTCAGTCATTTTAAGGTTGCTTTCAATTTTTTAAACAGAATGCTACATTTTTGTTCCGATATGAAAAAAAAAACGTTACTTTGGAGTGATTTTGAATCAATCCAAAGTTGCAAAAGAAAAGACATTGTCGAAACAGACAAGGATGATCAACAGGTAAAGTAATAAGAACTTTTCATGAATATTTCTTGTACACATGAGTCTTCATTTATAATTTGTGAAAAAACGAATTTATAAAGCATGATTTGTTTTGTTGGAAATTTACAGGGTCAATTAAACTCATCTATCCTGTTTTTTACATCTTGCCTTATGAAATAAACATTTGACTATGAGATAAATTAAAAAATACTGTTTATTAATATGGACTCACAATACTAGAAGGTATAAACAAAGTATATTGCTTCAGTTTTATCATATAAAGTAGATCATGTATACAGGGTGTCTGTTTTATCTCAATACAGCGAAACATCTGTTAAGGAAGTGATGTTAGGAAAAAGATGTTTTAACAAAAGTTGTTTGGTACGAGGGGGAAAATTATGTGGTATAAATATTTTTCTTGTACCGGGTATTGTGGGGGGAGATTTCAAAGTCAGTTTAATTTTTTTAAATGGAATGCTATATTTTTTTATATGTATATAATATGATAGTGTATATTAAAACGAGTCCAACGAGGTGCGAACAAAGTCATTTCCTTTGATAAAACAGACACACGCGACCGTGAGGAACGTATGGTGGTCCGGCTCCCGGTTTTTCGCAATTTTACGACCTTCCATGATAGGAAATGACTTTGTTCGCACCTTGTTGGACTCGTCTTAACATACACTATCATATTATGTATAAAAAAATATAGCATTCCATTTAAAAAAATTAAACTGACTGAAATCTCCCCCACTATACCCGGTACAAAAAAAAATATTTATACCACATAATTTTCCTCCTCGTACCAAACAACTTTTGTTAAAACATTTTTTTCCTAACATCACTTCCTTAAAAGATGTTTCGCTGTATTGAGATAAAACAGACACCCTGTATACTTAACTCTTTGTAATTTTTAAACATTGTATTAAAGTTAATATCACCACTCGTACAAAATTCTTCTGATCAGATGTAATAACATAAAATAACTAAAAACAATTATATCTTCGAGATATAAAATGCTATTTATATGTTAAAGTTAAATGAGAAATATAGTTTTGTATAAAATACACAATTAAAAATAATAAATATTACCACTTATCACTGAAATGGAAGCAATGAAAACCTAAATTGTTGTATGGAAAAAAATATTTGGTCAACAAAAAATATACAAAATGTTATTGCAAATTGCACGCTAGCTTGTTAATTATATAGTATATGATATTCTGTATAATTTTGTACAAGAAAAATTAGCACAAAAGTATGAATAGAAGTCATAATGTTATTAGGGGGACATTTATATACCATTATGTGCGGCAAACAGATCAAGGAAATACATATCTCTATGCAAATTATATTTATTCGGTAGTTCGAAAAGTTCTGTCAGATTTCGTCGCCTGAATTTAAATAATCATAACTCCATCAACAGTATACATTTATTCAAAATAAGAATCATTATAATCGATACAACTTTGCCAACGTTTTACTACTTTATTTATGCCATATACAAAAGATAGGCAAGACAAAGAAAATGGATAACTGTGTTCCACATAAGCTGTCCGATAACGAATGCTTCGTGCCTCCATTTACTCTTCCCATATCCTGCGAAACATCAAAGACACTTTTCTTGACAGAATTGTTACCTGCGATGCAAAACCTAAAGCACATCTGAAAAAGATAATGCTCTATCCGTTGGTCTATCGACGGAATTATTCATCATAATTTTTTCAAAAAGGAAGAAACGTTTATGGTAAGTACGTACTGCAATGAACGTAGCAAAGTGCATTAAAAACTGTCAGTTATCCGTCTAGTACCAGACAATAAAAAGGGCCCAACTCTTTTGCATGATAACGCCTGAACGCACGTATCATTAATTACAGTGCAAAAGTTAAATGCCCTGGGATATGAGACTCTACACATCTACCCTATTCTTCAGACCTTTCACCAACAAATTATCATCTGTTCAAATATTTTGATCATTTTATCAAGGAGAAAGCATTTCGAAATGAACGCGATGTGGACTTCGTTAATTCTAGACGTCATAATTGTTTTTGTATATGGTATAAATAAATTAGTGAAACGTTGGTAAAGGGTGTATCGATTATAATGGTTCTTATTTTGAATAAATATGTATTTTTGGTGGAATTATGATTATTTAAATTCAAACGACGAAATCCGATAGAATTTTCCGAACGACCTAATACGTAAATGATATAAAGTTAAAAATAATACAACTACTTAAAGAAGGAAATACGCAAAAAAGTTGAAAAAGTTATGAGCTGTAATCAAGATACTGTAAATTACGTAAGAAAGAAATTTAGCGAATTAGAGAATATAGTAAACCATAAAAGATCTGTTCTTGTATAACAACAAAAAGAGATAATAGAAAATTATGTAAACCAGTAAATTATATGGGACAAGATACATTATTGTTTTAATATTCAACAAACAGCAAGCAAATAAACGCAGATGGGCTAAGAAAGTATTTGTTCGTCTATATATTTGTGTCAAATATTTACTGTCAAAAAAGGATTGCATAATATGTTTTATTATTTTGTAAAGTTACAAAAAAACCGGTTTAACAAAGTAATATAAGAACAATGTTCTTATTTTCTCAGAAACAAAGCCTCGTATGAAAAAATTTTATTCTATATTTATGATTTAGTTTTTCATGTAGAATCATTATTTGTTCGCTTGTACCACCAGTTACATGACACCCTGTATATACAAAGTGATAAGGAAATAGGTGGCCAAACTTTGGTACCGTATTCTGTTGTTCTTAAGGATGAAAAAAAGTTACATAAACATACGTCCGAAAACTCTTCCTTTCCGAGATATAGACACTTTTCGATTACGATCGAGTACTGTAGGAATGTTTAAAACTTACTTAAAGAAATTACTGAAAATGACTTCCTTCTGCAACAATACATACTTCGCATCGACATTTCAAAGACTGTCGAAGACGTTCAAAAATTCCTGGTATACTCCGAATTTCTTCACATGCAGTGTTATTATCATAAAGTAAACACACTGCTTTCAATGTCAACATAACTTGCTTTAACATATACTTCTAGCAAAATAAATGACGACAGTGTTTGAAATTCCACATCTGACAGCTATTCTAGAGAATTTTCGATGTAAGCAAAAAGTGTCTATATCCCAGAAAGGAAGAGTTTTCGGACCTATGTTTGTACGACCTTTTTCCATCCTTAGGAACAGTAGAATGCGGTACGAAAGTTTGGCCACCTATTTCCTTGTCACCCTTTGTGTGCGTGGGTGAGTGTGTTAAAATAAGAGAGTAGCTGAAAATTTGTTTAAAAAAAATTCAATGAATAACTTTCATGAAGACTGTTTAAATTTTAATGAATATTTTTTAAACAAAAATATTCACAATAATACATAACGGGAAGTTGTATAACAGATAAAGAAATAAACAAATCATATACAATCTATTCAAACGTTTTTGGGTTTTAATATTAAAACAATAAAATAATCACAAGATAGTCCTGACTTCAATTAAGAATTTATGGAAAATATTGAAAAAGGTTATTTACTTAAAAGAAAGTTTAAAATACATATGAATTTTAAGAGGTTGTGCAACTATTGCTAGATGCTATTCCAATAATAAAGTATAAAAAGTTTATATAGTTAATGGAATTTAACGCTAGAGTTTTATAGTGTTACTAGAAACATAAAAATATATTAGTAAAACATTCTTTACCTTTTTATAAAATTTGTGTTAATAATTGTAATTAGAGACTTTTTCCAAACTTCCTATACACTAACAAGGGGAACTCCCTAAGCGTATCACTCACTTATTAATCAAATTTTACCAACTTATAGAATTCGTCAGACTAAATATATCTGCTCGTCATTTTGGAGGAAAGCGACTAATTGTTTTTGAGATATTAACAATTAAAGTCAATTATGAGAGTTAACTGGGAACAGTTAAATATTTCGTAAGCGAGTGAACTTGATCCATGCGAGAGTCAAGATCCATGTTAATCTGAGTCCTCAGGGTCTTACTAATTTATGATTTTGTATAGGTTGAAAGTAATTTTGCACATATTTGAACTCGTCTCAAAAGACACTATTATATTATACATATATAAAAAGATGTTTAAAAATATCAAGTTGACCAAAAAAATTCCCCTCACCGCTACACCTAAAAAAAAACTACATACACTAGGTAATGTTTTGCAGAAACAATTTTTCTATAATTTCACTCGCTTACGAAATATTTAACTGTTCTCAGTTAACTCGAACACATTATACAGTATGTCCGGTTTATCTCAGAACACGAAAGTATCTCGAAAACTACGAATGATACAAAAAAATATTTCAAACGAAAGTTGTAGGGTATAGAGGGCGACATATTGTTCTGGTATTTTTTCGACCTTGAAATGCCCTGTTATATTTTTGATTATGCATTCTTGCAGCTAACATCGAAACGTTTCCAAAACACTGCATACTTGTGGTTTTTGCGTAAATTATGTGCACCGCGGAGACGGTTAAAGATGTTTTTTATAATGTTACTACTGGTATGTCATTGACGGAGAAATTCTGGTCTCTAGCTTATGCAGATGACGTAGCGGTAGTAGCGACCAGAGAGGAAGAACTAAGGGAAATGATAAAAAGATTAGAAAAGTATTTAGATAAAAAAGAACTGTTACTGAACGTGGGAAAGACGAAGGTAATGATTTTCAGGGGCGGGGGAGGGAGAGCGAAAAGAGTAGATTGGAGATGGAAAAGTAAAACGGTGGAAGAAGTCAAGGAATTTAATTACTCGGGAGTAAGATTTCAGAGGAACGGTAACATGGCTGGACACATAAAGGAAAGGATAAAGAAGGCAAACGTGACATTGATCCAGGTATGGGGAATAGAAGAGAGGAAATTTAAGACGGATTTTAGGATGAGAATGTACCTATTCGACATGCTGGTACTTGGTGTACTGATGTATGGGGTAGAACTGTGGGGTTTTAAGGAGAGAGCCGAAATAGAAAAGATACAAGTAAGATACATAAAATGGACGCTTGGCTTAGACATCCGCACACCAGGCTACTTGGTGCTGGAGGAATCAAAGAGAGAGAAATTAAGAGTGAAAGCAGGAATTAAAGCTTGGAAATTTGAGGAGGGAGTAAGGAAGGACGTAAGGAGAAAAATAGTCAAGGAATGTCTGAAGAAAAAGGAAGCAAATAAAGAACAAACTAGAACCGGAAAAGAGAGAGAGGAGTACTTAAAAAGAAACGGATTAAGTCAAGCGGGGGTGGATGAGTTGAGAAGAGAAGGAAGAGAGGTAACGGAGAGGATAAGGAGAAGAGACAAAGAAGTGCAACAACAGAGGCAATACACAAAAATAGAACAATCCAAATACAACATTAGGTACAAATACATCAGAACTATAGGACTACCAGAATACTTGAGCAAAGAAGGAAGAGACCAGAAGTTAATAGCCCAAGCGAGATGCGGGAATTTAGAAAACTGGAACAAGTACTGGGAAGAGGAGGAAGGAAGGAGATGCGATTTGTGTGGTGATAGATTCGGAAATCTGGAACATTTAACAAGGGACTGCAAAGAAACCGACAGGGATATCAGGATGGAAGACGTAGCGAATGGGAGACAGGACAGAAAGATTGTAGAGTGGCTCGAGAAGCTGAAAAAGAAAAGAAAAGAAAAAAGAGAGAGTGGCTGAGAACACCAAAGAGAATATTAAAGTATAAGGGAGGGGTAACAATTAATGGGTAATAAGTAGAGCGATAAGTTAGTCGAGTACGAGGGAATGTGAATGGAAGCGAGAGAGAGAAAGAGAAAGAACGAATCGAATGAGTGAATAAGATAGTTTTATAAAACGTAGGTTACTGTAAACCAAGTCAAATTCATGGCTGTGAGACTGAATAAATAAATGAATAAATAAATAAATATACATATATATGTCATTGACGGAACATAAAGTCGTAGTTTTCCAATGTTTCCAAAATATTGTCCGACCGAGTAACCTCTCCCTTTACAGGGCTTTTCAAGGTCATTGTAAAGTCAAAAAAATACCACAACAATATGACGCCCTCTATACCCTACAACTTTCGTCTGAAATATTTTTTTTTGTATCTTTCGCAGTTTTCTAGATACTTCCGTGTTTTGAGATAAATCGGACATACTGTATAAGTTCAATGCACTCCACGTGCAAATGCAAGGATTGTGAGTTCCAGTTACGGTATTCTAGATTTTTTTTTACATTTATAATTACACAAAGTTTTTTATATTACTCTTACTGGTAATTTGTTTTAATTGTATTTTATTTTTTACATTTTAATATATACTTTATATACTAAACAGTAATTGACTTCAATTGTAAATATGTCGTAAATAATTAATTGTCTGCCCCCAAAATGGAATATAGACGTATAAAGTCTGATGAATTCTATATGCTAGCAAAATTTCATTTAAGTGAGCGGTGCCCTTAGGGGAATTCTCCTTGTAAATATTTTTCTCTATACACTATTTTGGTTTTTCACTGTATAATTATGTATTTTAAACAAAACTAAGCTTACCTTATCATCTGACTTAGGCATGTACAGAGCTTTTCTAAAATATTTCATCCAGCTTAAAACAATTTTTTTTCTTGTAGAAGAAACTCATTTCAAACTTTCTTTTTTAATCAGTAAATTTAAAAGACTATAATTTGACAACAAAACATTTGCAGATATTTTACATTTGTACGATATTTTATCACTATTACAACTAAATCCAGTGTACTCGTAAAGTTAGGCAAATTATTTTAGAAACACCTTGTACAATAACATTGTGTACCTCTAATATATAATTAATTTGGTATGTCTAATCAAAACTTTTATGCTAATGATAGTAACATCATTTTAAATATACTTTATAATGCTGGTGAAGTACATAAGCAAAATATGCTTTTTCAATTGATTTTTTCCAGCTAGTTTATTAAAGTATACTAATTAATGTATTTCGAAATCAAATAATTAGAATAGTTTACTAATTTGTAAATTTTTCTTTAAATTATTTTCTATTTTCAAAAGCAGAAAAAGACATTTAAGTATTCCTATTTAATTGACCCATTTTATACACAGAATATTTTAACGTTTACACAAAAATTTGTCAGTCAATTCATGGCGGTGATTTTAAATATAAAATATCATATAAATATATTCTTGAAATGCAATAGTGAATGAAACATTGTTTACGAAAGTTCCTAATTTTGACCGATTTTAACGTGTTATGATTATTTAATTGAGTTCCTGTCTTTGAATCTATTAATCATAAATTAATTTTTTCGCACTTCGTTTGTATAGATTTTATCACCGAACTTTAAAAATACTATTTCTTTAAATATTTAACTTCAAACGTATACTCATATAACATTTTGTATTCAGAATCACTCATACTTTTATAGCGACTAATAATTCTTTGTACGAGTGTTATAAAATATCTTGATGTATTAATTGTATGTGAGGACTAATATTTGAACTGTAATTAAAAAGCAACCTAATTTGAAATATATCGAAATTAGTTAAATGTATAACAAAAAGTTGACAGTACTTGAAGCAATTTGAAACAAAAAATATTCCAAGTTCCTTTCATTGCTTTTCAATTTCTTTAAATTCAGGAAAAATTGTTCAAACAATTTGTTATAATCATATTATGCATACTATATTAAAATGCTATTGTAGTATTAATATTTGAGTATTATATGTAGGGGAAATTGAAAGATCACTTATGCTTCTGTACATATTGAAATTGTTACTTCTTAAGTATTTTTGCTTTTTTTGTAATTTCATCTATAATTTGCATTAATAAATTCTGTATTTATAAATGTAGTATGAAAATGATTTATATAGTAGATTATAGTAGAAGAAGAATTAATCTTTCCTCCTGCTATT